GGGGGGGGGGCTCTGGAGGTTGCGGCCCACCGGAAAGCCAGAGATGCGGCCGGCGCCGCGGACCGGGTTGAAGTTTTCACGAAGTTGGGAACTTTTCAAAAAAGTTTGCCAACTGTTCAGAAACTGTGCAAAGACGATTGCAAAGTTTTCAACGGGCGCAAGTACCTTGCGGACTTTGCGGAAAGTGAAAATAGCTTGCAAGCTTTTCCCCGAATCATGCACGCAACTCGTAAACTTTTCAGAAACTGTGCACGTAGCGTTTGCAAACTTTTCAGAACATGTGGCAGAGCTTGGAGGCTTTACAGAAAGTGCAGCAAGTTTGGTTGTCCCTCTCCCCCAGGCTCTTGGGAACGGTGGGGGTGTGAGTCGGGGGTGGGGGCGGGGGGTTCTGCACGCTCAGGAGCCCCTCCGTCTACCTCCTGCAGGATTGGTGCCTCGCCCCCAGCCTGGGGACGCTGGCAGGAGCGGCGTGCCTGGGGCCCCGCCTGCAGCCAGATCCGAGGGGGACATCGAGGACGCCGTGGCCACTACAGCAGTGCAGAGTCCAAGTCCCAGAAGCCCTGGGCAGGAACAGGAGCCAGGGCGGTTTGGGGAACAGGCGCCCGAGGGGGGTCCTGTGCACCACCGAGCGAGGCGCTGCACGTGTTTCACCTACAAGGACAAGGAGTGCGTCTACTATTGCCACCTGGACATCATCTGGATCAACACTCCTGAGTGAGTCTGCCCGGTCCTGGGTGGTGGGAAGTGATGACAGGGCTGGGGGCTCCCAGGCCCCGCCCCCATCGTCGCGCGCCCCCCCCCCCCCCCCAGCACCTTAGCCCATTCCTGCCAGGTCAGCCCGGAGCCTGCCCTGGCACGGCCCCCAGCTCTCACCGCCCCCCCCCACCCTGCCCCCCACGCCGCCGGCTCAGGCCGGGTCTGCAGGTCAGGGATGTGTCTCCTATCCCCTTTGAGGGCCTGGCCGGGAAGAAACCCAATCTCAGAGTTTCTGATCCGGTGGAAGGGGGAGCCCTCCCTCCGAGAGAGGTGAGCTGGCCAGAGGGATTAGACACCTGAGAAGTCTTTCTTCGATTGAGGAAAGTTATCTCCTGCCCCAGGGGCTAAATGGGCCCCCCTGCCCCCCGACCCTGCCAGGCTCCAAGGGGTTTCAAATTCCTCGAAAGCAGCGTGCTCTCCAGAGAGCGCAGGGGTGGGCCCGGCAGGGCCCGGTGGAAACTTCCCAGGCAGGGTGAAATTCCATGGGCACCAGGCTCCTTTCTTCCTGGGGGTGCAGTGCCGACTGGTCCTGCCACAAGCTGGCCTCCATCACCCAGTGTCGCCCACTGCCACCTACTGCCACAGACGGCCTCCCCGTCTCCCCTCCAGCCCCTAGGGGCTCTTTCTGTAGAACCAGGGCAGTGCCACTGGGAGTCCTGGGGTCTGGAGTCCACCTTCCAAGGCCATTGGGTAGAGAGTGCGCTCTGCCGTGGGAGGATTTGAGTGTCCCCCATTCACTTACTCGATTTGGGAATCTCCTTCTGCAGAAACATCGCCTTACAGACAGTAAAGAGGGCTTGACCTTGCTCTGGTCACCTGCCTCCTGGGAGTTGTCTCCCCCGAGCTCTGAAATCTGGGACTCTGTGTTCGGTTCCCCAGGTGTTCTTGGGATCTCTTGGGACTCCTGCTGGTGCCCTACTGGGGATTCCTGTTGAGGAGCTGGTGGTGAATGGGGACCTTTCGCTGGGAAAGGCGACTTTGCTGCCGTGTTTGGGGCCACCCCGATTCACGTCCCCCACGGCTTCCTTCATCCCCAGCCTCTGAGCACGCTAGGTGACAGCTTTGATGGGCTCACCCGCCACGTTTCATGAGCCCCTGCAGAAGGAGGCACCGAGGAGGGTACCCCTGAGGGGTCGACTAGCTTTCAGACCAGGTGACAGGATCTCTAAGCACATCCGGGGTAGGTCTGGAAAGCGACCCCATTATGTCAGAGCGGCAGACGGGGCCAGCTTCGCTGAACCACCTCGACACTCGCACGGGGGTCCCAGGCTCGGTTTCAGTCAACACAGGACTGCGTCTTGCCTTAGCCAGGGGCCCAAGCTGTGCATATAGAAGGAGGAAGGAGAGCCGGCTGAATTAGGGGCAGCGGGCCTGGGGCAGAGGAGAGAGGGAGGGGGGCAGGAGAGGGTTCGGAGACCTCCCCCGTTCCCTGCTTGTCACCGGGCTCCTGGCCGCGGCTGGAGGCCTGATTGCTTGAAATGCGCCCAACGGGCTCAGCAAAGGCCCTCTGGTCTGTTGGCAGCCGTGTCTCGTAATTCCGAGTTGTCGCGTATGAAGCTGTGGGCCTTTGACTTTTTTAATTTTTTAGGGCGGCCGCCTTGCTGGCGTCCTCCCTCGCGGTTTGACCTCCTCCCCTCTTTCCTGACCCCGATTCGTTCTAAACGCTAGGAAAGAAGGATGAACTATGGTGTTTGAGAGCTCTGTGTACAAAAAAAGTGACAGCAGACAGATGGGCACTCTGAAGTAAGACAAGCAAAATCGCTTTCATAGGGAAGCTTTCTCCAGATGCTCTGTGTCCTTCCCTCTTTCCCCCACCACTCCCCTTGCCCGCCTCTCTCCTTCCCTTTCTTCCCTTCCTTCCTTCCAAAACTCTATAGATGGGTAGACAGGTCCATAGACATCTCGGACAGGACGGGAACGTGAGAAAATGGGCTAGGGACAGGGGACGTGGGCCTTCGGAGGATGGAGGAGGGACACAGCCGCCGAGCTGAGCCAAAGGGGCGACGGTGGAGAGCAGCGAGGTCTTTTCCGGGTCCCTCTCCGTTCCTGCCCCCGCCTCCCGTGGCAGACCCTCCCGGTCTGTGGAAACTTCTCCCGCGTGTGATGTGCATTCTGGCCTCGCCGCTGCGCCGGGAATCGCAGGGGCCTTGATCTTCATGCCTACGTCGAGAGTCTTGACTTTGGGTGACGACGCGGCGTGTGACGTCTTCCTTCCTGCGGCCCCTCGTGTTGCGCGAAGACGGACCCCACAGTCCTTCTCTGCCTCGGGAGGACATGGGCGGGCGTTCCGTGAGTGTGGTCGCTCGCGCCGTGTCCGAGGAACGGAAAGCTGCAGGTGGACCGTGCGAGGTACCGCCGAGGCCCCTTCTGCATCTTCGGTGGAAAGTCGACGTCCGGTGAGGGCTCGAGAGACCAGGTTCGCGAAGCATCTCGCGGGTGGAATTGCTGAGGGTGTCTGGCTCTGCCACAGACTTTTACGGGCTTCCTTCTTGCAGACCGAGCTCGGCGAGCGCTCTCTGCTGGGTGCTAGATGTTCGGGACCGCCGGTTGGCTTCGCTTAGGTCCGGCCGCCTGGCGCTTCTTCCTGTCTTCGCCGTCACTGAGGTTCGGGTCTGCCGTGCTTCCTCCCACAAACAAGGCTTCTTGTTCCAGCGTGCATGCACGCTCTCCAGAGGCCCGCGTATCCCAGCAGACGCGTGCGGGAATGTGGATTTTTCTCGGGGGGGTGTGGCCCCTGACTTCCATTCAGCCTCTGGGAAGTGTGTGGCCGGCCCCAAAGAGGAACCCAATGTGTCCTAGGCAGGTGCACTTCCTGGGCTTGTGGAGGCGCGGCACAGGGTGGTCTTCGTGACTCCCCTTGGCCGTGTCGGGGAGCTTTCGCCCCTCCCCTGACAATCCCACCATCGCCCACAAAAACGGGAAAAAAACCTCCAAATCAGAGAAACACATGTCCCATTTTAGGATCGTGGAAAGCTTGCCAAGAATAAGATAACGGGGGAAGAGGTGGTGAGCAAGTGGTGTGTGCGCTTACACACATGTACACACAGGGCCGTCCTCTGCGAGTGCTTGAGAAACAGAAGTGTCCTCGAGCCCCGTGGGGGATTGTGCTGGGGTCGCCAGAGAGAAAGAACTAATAGGACACGTGTGTGTGTGTGCATGTGTGTGTGTGTGTGTGTGTGTGTGTGTGTGTGTGTGTAGAGATGTCCGTGCAAATATGTGCACATACGCCCACAGGAGGCATTCTGGAGGCAGAATTCTTTCCTCGTCAGGCACCCCGGTTTGGTTTTGTTTTGTTTTTTTCCACTAAGGCCTTCGACTGATTAGTTGAGGCCCACCCACATTACGGAGGGTAATCTGCTTTACTCAAAGTCTGCGGATCTTAACCTTACATCTAAAACAAATACCTTCTCGGCAACATCTAGACTGGCACCTGACCAAGTATCGGTACGGTGGCCTGGCTAAGTTGACACATAAAATTAACCCCTCTGTTCCTCCCACTCTGTTCCCGAGAACTGACGGCACCTGCCGTCTGTTCATCGCTCCAAGGACATAGTGAGGGAGAGGCGTTGTGTGCCGTGATGGGGAGCGTGTTTTCCAGACGCAGCTCTGGGCCACGTGAACCGACCAGGGGGAACGCATTTATGAAGCGGGTCGTGCGGATGTGTGCAGTCTCGACTGTGGCGGAAAATCTGGGATCTACGGCCCCTGCACGTGGGAAGGCACCAGACGCAGGCACTCTGCCCTGTGTCCTGGCTGGCTAGCGGACTGATTGAGTGTGGTGACCCTCTCTGAGCGCCCCCTGGGTAACGTGCCAGCGCCAGTGTGACCCTGGGGTGGTGGCCTCACAAGATGACCCGCCCGCCACCCTCGCTGCGTCAAAGCCTGCCACGCTGACTCGGCCCAGCGGGAATGACGTTTGTGTCGGGTTCTTTTCCCCTCCCAAAGAAGTAGAACAAAAACGATGATGATGACGGTAATTAAAAAAACACTTGAACTTGTATTTTAATGTATTTTAGCACAAAAAGGCAACTCTGCCTTCCTCGTTGCCTCCTTTGTCGTTCAAGAAGGTCACGTTCCCGTTTGTAAGAAGGCGCATTCCACGCGTTAGACCGTCCCAGGGAAATGGACGCACTTGGGACCCCAGCCTCCTGCCGATGCGAGGCCCGCTGCCCACCCGCGGTGCGATCGCCCGCCCCCTGAGTCGGGACTGGGCGTATTGTCGTAGGGATGCAGCTGGTGAGGCGGAGGGTCAGAGTGTTTCTGGCCGTCGTGATAATCACAGCGACACAGATGATGACGACGGTGGCGGCCAACGTTGACAGAGACCGACTCCCGTGTGTAAAGACGTGTGACAGTGACGCCACAAGGGAGAGGGGACACGGAATATAGTGAATATATCGCCAAGACACGACCATAAAGATAACGGTACCACCTCTAGGCCGGGGCCAGTGCCTCCTGCCATGCCCCATGCTGCGGTTGGGGGGCGCCCGTGAGCAGAAAGTTCTTGCTCAAGTACGGCTGAGGTCACCTCCTTGGACCTGGACCGGCCGCCGCAGGTCTTGCCTGGCCTAGGAGTGGGGGGTGGGGAGGGGTTAGCACTGAGCGAGCCACACCATCTCCAGCCCTCAGTGGCGCTCCTAGAAGGTCTAACTGGCATTGCGTTAGCACAGGGTTGACAGACCTGGGGGTAAAGGTGTGCCTGGCTGCCTCCAGCTGCCGATAAGCGGCTTGATAAGGACACTCCGGCCAAAGGTTATTCCAGGCTCCGTGAGACTTGGTTCCGCCCTTTCGGCCCCTCCTTGCTTTCTCTTGCTTCCCTGTCCCCTCGGTAAATCATTGGAATGTTTGGGGCTTGGCATTCTGTGTAGGCATTGGCCTGGGGCTCCCCTCCGTTAGTGGGGAGGTGGGGACAGCCACCGGGGTCTGTCATTTCAGGATAATGTGAACGGCCAGTTTGG